TATAGTTAGCAATTAAGTAGTAAGAAATTGCATAGTGTGATTTGAAGATATGAACATAATTGAGCTTGGTAAAAAGAAGTTCAGTGAATTTGGTAAGTAAATTTTTAAGGATTGAAATATATACATATTAGGAAATATTAAGTTCAAGAGAGAGTAATTGATTTGATTGTTAAAAGAATTCTGTAAGAATATCTGGTTTTTTTTAATAGCTATAGATTTAAATAAGTAGTTAAAGCTTTGTTTTTGAGGGGGTTTAGAGATTGGCTCTTTTTCTGCAATTGGGATTGGCTAACTTGAAGTAAATTTGCAAAGATAAGTTTTGGCAAAGTTGAAGAGTTTTTGGGCAAGTGTTGAGTTTAATTTAGTATTTTGATAGTATTGAGAATGAGGATTAATTATAGTAGATTTAGAGTTTTTATGAAGAGTAAAAAGTATGATTTGAGAAGTTAATTAAAATTTTTGTTGTTGTTTAGAGAAAGGTGATTTGGATAATATTTCTGTAATTTTATTGAATCATTTTTAGAGATAATTGTATTTGGAGAGATATCCATTGCTATAGAGCTAGTAGATTGTCTGGATGGTATATTATGAGGAATTTAGTAGTATTGAATATAAAGTTTGTATGAAATTTGCTATATAGACAAGTAGATAAAGCGAGTTGGGTTGGCATTTTAAAATAGTAATGAAATTTGTTGAGTTTACAATTAGTAGGATTTGGATAAGATATATAGGATAAGTAGATTAGATTCTTTTGTTTCAATATCAAATAATCTAGATATTTGTTATAATAATAGTCAAGATCATAAAAATCAGGATCTTGAGTAGTTAGAGTAGGTATTTTGATAAATTAGATAGTGATATTATTAAAGAGGGCAAGTAGAGCTTTAAAAATTGCTAAAATTTATTTTGTGTACTGTAACACTATAGGTAAAACTTTTGTAGCTAGTATAGCTATAGCTGGTGTAGCTAAAGCTAGTGTGGCTTATAGTACAAAATTAGGTTATATAAAGTTATTAAAAATAATAAGTGATACTATTTAAATTTTATAAATTAAAGAAAATATAGATTTGTAATTACAGTATTTGTTTTGTATAAATTTAATAAAAATTTAAACGAATTTTTAAATGAGATTATTATTAAATGAACCACTAATTTTAGAGATTCCAAAATGTGTTTGGGGCCAGGTTTGGATAAAAGAAAAGGGCTTTAATTATTTATGCTAGTAATACAAACTCTAAAAAGAAAATAGCCAATCAGAAAATACAAATTTTGGGTATTCCGAATTAGCTCAGCATAGAATTTGTATTATTCTGACAAAGCAAAACAAACAAAAAAAAAATAAAAATAAAGAAAATACAAGAAATAGTAATCTAATTCTACTTTTGTGTATTAACAAAAAATATTAATGAGGTAATTTTACTTATAGAAATTTCTAACTCTAACCCTGCTCCTAATCCTAACCCTAATATTTAATAAATTTCAAATTTACTTTGTTTCTTTTTTTGGTTTGTATTACCAGTACAAATAAGTAAAGCCAAAAAAAAAAAAGAAAAAAGAAAAAAAAAATTATAAAAAAGAGAGTTTAGAATAATTTAACTATAAAATGGTTTGTTTTTGGTCAGTTGTAATAAATTTTATGTCAAAATGAAGCTGAGAGTAAGCCGGAGAATTTTGTCTTAAAAAACAAGACTAATTTCCTTAGCAGAATTTGAGTAAACTCAAATAGTAATTATTTAACAAAAAATTATTTAATTTAATTAAAAAAATTTATTAATTTGGTAGCTATATGTAAATTGGGGTATAAAACAATAAAATTTAATAAAAAAAGTGTGTTAAGAAGAGCAATTTTGAGAAAACTTAAGTTTTGTTTTAGCAAAATTTTGGTACAAGTGATTGTTGGGAAGAGTTAATTAATAATTGTTAAAAATCTTTAAAATTAAAAAAAAAATTATTTTTTTTTTTAATGTTTTTTAAAACTTCTAGTAAAGATTTTTTAACAATCTTCTATCCAAGTTTGATATACTGTATTTTAATTTGCAAAATATAAAATTAAAATAAAAAAAAAACTTTTACTGAGTTTAATCAAGTAATTACTAAAAAATAAAAATTTTTTAAAAAATCCAATAATTTGATTGGCTGCTTACAGATTTTCTTCCACATGCTATAGATCTATAGTATTCCAAAGATATAATTTTGTTTCACAAAATCATCTAAACGTGATTGATCTTTTTCTTGAACAAAAAATAGATTTCATTTTACTACCTATAGCCGCGAAATAATGCGCAGGGGGTGTAATTCCAAAATTTTGGCCCGAATTAAGCATAATTCGGGCCATTATTCGAATAACGCACGTGGAAAAGGATGAGCTTACTTGATTCTCTACGAGAGAACTTTCAAAACTGATTAAAATACGGCAAATTTTTGAAATTGCAAATTCACCGAGTGTGTAGCTTTGTACCACAAGCTATGTAATATATCTGATATGGTAACTCATATGCCGTAATTATGTCTACGTAACTAGTACGTACATGTGTATAAAAGATTTCTTACGTGAGACAAGAACAGTAGTTATTTTTTTTAAGATGGTGGTAATTGGTTGAATAACGGGAAATATGTGTTAAGAAGAATTGATAATGAAAAGTGACGTTCTTGGATAATTTTTTCAATGATTCCATTGTGATGAAATTTTTAGCGAAAGAAATTTAAAATTCACAAAAAAAAAAATTTTTTTTAGCCACGGAGTTGATCAGAGAGATGGACAAGGTAATAATGTAAGCAACAGTTAATTTATACGTGTCTGCATAATTACCAATTATTACGTATTATTATTATTGCAAAAAAAATTAGAAAAAATAATTAAAATTTATATGTAATTAACCTTTGCCCAGTTACGACATTTTTTAATTAATTAGTTACAACGATGCTGATCTTTAATTATGGGACAATGGTTTGTCGTAACCGCAACTTGTCTATGCCTCCATCTGATTAAGCGACATTAATTTTCGGTGATTGAAAATTAAAATTTTATATATAAATTTAAATAAACTTACAATATTTAAATCGCTTCAACTTTTTAGAGTGATGAGTTTTTAAAAAAATTTGGCATATATATAGAGCTGATATAACTTTATATTATACCCTGGTCACTATATCAAGATCGCAGGGCATAAATCAGTTATACCCTGGGCACTGTGTGTATAAGCGGGACTTTCAGCCCCGCTTATACACACAGTGCCCAGGATATAACTATTACTTATCGCGTGGTTTGGATCGTTTCAAATGGTTTTAAGTGAGTCAATAAAAACGCACCAAATATCTTTTTCATGAAATTTTTTTTAACTTTCAAACAAAGTAACAAACAATACAAATTTTTTTAAACGAATCCTACAAGTTTATAGAATTGATTCGATTAAAATTGTTATTGTTGAATTCACCCTCACTATCCGATACAACTATTAGACCTACCATATCTTTAATTCACATAACTTATCTAGTCGTTAAATGAGGCACTACAAGTGCCAGGCACGCGTCCAGGCTCCGTTTTAAATAACGCGTGTTGGCACTTGCAGAATCCCATCATTAAACCACCCTTAGGTTCTTAATATTCCTAATTTGAAATGAGAATAGCAAAGTTTTAATAATTTATATTTTTTGATTTAACAATTTGATTTGTTTTTGACACTGTTTAATAAATATGGGACAAAATATTTTTGTTTAATTAATATTCCAAATGAAGTAGCAATCTGATTCCAAACCAAACTATGTAGTAATTATCACAATTCAAAAACAAAAAAAAAATTGGTCGCGACCATATTGTTACTATTGTTACTTTTGGTACCTAAAAATATGAAAGACACGTTAATAATAATAATTAATCATAAAATTATTGACCGCATTATTGGTGCCTACCCCAGAATGTTTTCTAGACGCGGCACGGCTTTTGTACAAAGGTATATAGTGATAATTGGTGTTGCTCTTCACGAAATAACAATAAATTAGTATCCATCAGATTATGTTGATATCGAATTTATAAATTACCCATTGTCGTCCTTTTCATAATTCGAATTAACAGTGGTCTCGCTATCTTCATCACCATTCAGAATATTATTAATGGCATCATCAATATTTTCTCTAACGTTACATCTTCCGATCTGTGTATATTGATGTAAAGAACTATTCATCTTTCGTTTAAGTATTTCAGCTATTGTTATCGTTTTTGTAATCGTTGGTCCTTTACCCGATAATATTAGGATAATATTTACGAATTCTTCGTTGCGTGAATTAACCTTTTTTAAGAATGGGATCAGACTGTATATTATTGTTGTGTGTAAAAGAATTAACAATACCTGAAACGCCTTTAACCCATGTTCAACGTATTTTTGTATTTTTCCCGTTTGTGTGATTCTAAGCGTTGTTTTTTGATAGGTTATATTTGGTTTTTTCGCTTCTTCTGTAGAGCCTGGTTTTGGGACAGAAATATGTTCCATAAACATCTATTATCAAGAAAATCTACGGGTGCATGTCACGCAAATCCAGGGTCCTAGAGTTGTAATTATACCTGATACTGGTATAACTTATAATAACTATATATATATATATATATATAAATTGATTGGCAAATTAGGTGAATCAAATTTATCTTATGTAATTTTTTCATCGTTATATATATGAAGTACCAATTTTTACAAAAAAATTTGGCGCTAAAAAAACTGATTTAAATATATCTTATCTCAGAATTACGTATCATTGTTCAAAGTTATAAATGAAAGTTACAAAATTACGTAAATTGCAACTCTATGGTGACATAATAATTATATGGAACAGATTAAGTTTTTTTGATTATCTAAAAAAATCCTATCGTATACAGCAGAATTAGTCGCGTGATTCGGCGTTCATTTTTTCACCATGTCACTTTTCTCCTATCCATTAGCTCCCAATAAGTACAAATAGGAGCTTATTTCCGTTTGTAAAAAAACTTATATCCCATAAAGAGAAATGCAATGGCAGTGCTTGCAGGAGCCTGGATAGCTTTTATTATAATTATTGGTGTAAGTAGTTAATAAGGAATACCTTTGGTGTTTGTTTAAATTGTTTAAGTTGTTTAAGTGTTAAGCTCACTAGTTTACTTTTTTCCTTTCTACCATTAATATACTTTCTATTATTATTATAATAATGAAAATATTAAGGCCCTATTTATATTTAGCTTTCTATTTACCAAATATTATCAAGACTATCGTGAAAGCGAACTTTTGGCTACAACGGTCACAATTTGTTCTTTAACACTATGTTTGAGTGCAATAGCATTATTTCCCGTAGATATATTCCTAGTATCTTCAACGGTTAATCTAAATACTGGGTTAAGGCATGAATGGGCTACTAAAGATGAAGTTCACCAAATTTTATATGAATTAAAGAGTGTTTATTATGGTAGGATTAATGAATTGGTTAGAAATCGAATTTAAAGGGCTAGGCGATCATTAATAATTACTGAATTACTACCCGAAATATTATAGCAATGTATGGATCGATTGCTATATTCTGCGCATTCGTGATTCCATTCGCTTATTTCTATTATGAGGAATATGATGAGAGTGAAACGATTCAACAGGTGAGTTTTAATTATGTGTTTAATTTAACGTGCTAAGAATTCTCTATCTGACATGTTTTTATATGTAGCGCATTACAAGTGCCTTAAAATATACTGGATTTTTTGTGGCTTTCCTGTTGATTTGTTTCGCATTTGGAATTGTTCTAAATCCCAAAGAGAAAAAAGTCCCACTTGATCTGGACTTTTTCAAAAAATTCTTGACCGATCATCGTAAGTCATTATTCATATTTTCATGGAAATTTATATTTTTTTTTAATTATATTATTGAGTGAATAACTTTGTGCGTATTTTAAGTGGGCGAGAATAGTATTTCTTTCATTATAGCTATTCTTATGATACTTGGGATGATTATTTTTATCGTATACACCGTAAGTCCACATGATTTCTATATTTTTCACAACAATTTTGCATGTAAGTTGATATTCACATATTTTATATGAAAGGCTCCCGGACTCTCATTACTTCCAATTAGAATGATTAAAGGGGCAAATGACACTGGTCCATCGGATGCAGAACTTGAAGATTATCTCAGATTGAATCGTGAAAAGCAAAGAGTTATAAAGGCGAAATATGAAGATCCTAATAATCAAATGATTAGGAAAGATGCACAACAATTGGAAAACTTGCTCACCGAAGAAAAGTAAGCATATAATAATCTCTTGTTTATTCGCTTGCTTAGTTAAACAATATTCATTTTGTTTCTCTAGGATATTGATTCGACGGTTGCGAGAGTATGAAGCAAATAAGAACGGAATATTAAACAAGATTCTTATGATTTTTAGACCATTCGAAGTATGTCCATTTACTTAGCATTTATTTAGCATTGATATTATTATGTATAATTTAATTTACAATTTATCATACCCTCTTCATTTATAGTTTTTGGGTGGCATTATGTTTTTATTATTGACTATAATAATTTTCCTTTCGATGTTTTTAACTTGGTAAGTAATTATTATGTCGTTCGTGTTTAGTGCTGAATTTCAAATTGCTAAATTTTATTGATTTATCGTTTTGAATTTAGTATTGATAAAGTCAAGAATTCTATTTGCGGAACTAATTGTGGCTTTATAATTAATCATCCTGACATATTTAATCCACTCAACTTTATTTTTATTGAAGCATCATACGTATGTCATATTTATAAACTACGTTCTCCGTGTATAAATCTTTATTAATCTATTATTAACTTATACCTTTTATTTTTTTAAAGTATTTTCCCATGGACTACTTGTTTATGGTTTTGCTTATCCTTTACTTCTTCCTTAGCAGTGTAGCTGGTGTTGTATTTATAGGTGTTCGATTTTTGTGGATTACACTTTATAAAATTCGCAAAAATGCCACACCACCCCAAGGACTGCTTTTGACTTGCTTGCTGTTAATGTTGAGTTTATTAGCGTTAAACTATACAATAACAATGGTCGTTGCTCCGCAGTACGCGCAGTTCGGAAGTCAGAAATACGTAAGCAAAAAAAAATAAATAAATAAATTCTATAATTTTATCACAACATGCTTATTATTATTGTTGTTTTTTTACCTATTTAGTGTAATCATACTGTCGATAATGTTACAGATTGTAGTGATTATCCAAGTTTGATTATTCCTTGTGATATTGAGGGACCAACAGGTAAATTTTGTATTTTCTTATTTTCACGTTGTATAATGTATGAAATTTGTTAACAATACTCTTATACTCTTTTGTTATAATCAGATATTTGCACTCCTACAGCAATATCAACATTTATTCATCGCATTACACTCAACACCCCATTCTTTGGTGTGGTGTTTTACTATGCGCAATGGGCATTTTTAATTATACTAGGGCTTGGATTTGTTTATTCAACAATTAGGCCACATAGTTATATATCTCTTGATGATTATGATGAAGAAGCAGATGAGAGTGAAAGACTACTGAATGCTAATTAGGTGAAATTTACAAGGCCGGATAACATTTTGAAGTTATTTTTACATATACATATAACATACCATATTTATTTATGTTTTATAGCAAAATAATTTATATATCATGATTTTATGTAATATCTGAAAATGTACTGCATTATTTCATTTATCCTTGATGTCTTTTTATGACTACGATGAACAAAGAACTATTTAAATATAAATAAATAAAGCAGCAAAAAAAAAAAAAAAAAAAAAAAAAAATAAGTATTATAACGTATCGTATCGTTTTCGTTTTCATAAACTAAATTTATGAGCATAAGCTTGATCGCTTTAGTGAACACAATACAAAATGTAATTTCTAAAAATGATAAATACCCCGGCTCAACTCTCTCACATGATTTTTATCAGGAGGGGAAATATCAATTTCCTAAATATGATATTAAAGTATATATAAGATTTAATACATGATGAATAAAGTTGGCAGGTAGGGTTTTTCGGATTTTAGGATTTTCGGACAAATCATTTAGGATAATCACACGTTCTTGCTTTTTCATTTCAAACCCTAAATCGGATTAACTGCCATAGGCGATAAGTAATTATTTTTTTCACAATTATGTAATTTAGGGCTTGAAATGAAATAATATTATCTGAAAATTCATTCAATATCGAATTGATAGCCATGAGGAAGGACGAATGGAAGATTCTTCGATTATCGCTAGCCACTGCTTACAGACACCCAAAAATAATACACCCATGATTAAGATTCGAGTATTACTATCCTTACCAACTGTTCTCTGAATAAGATCCGGGAATATAACTACGCCCCACCTAAATTTGATTCTAAATCAACTTTAAAATTTAATATGATCGAAAAACTTATTTATTATGGCAGTTTGCAAATGGTGTGACCCCATGATTTCTTGATGCTGATAACGGAAAAATTTTAATTCCCTATTGATCATAATTTTCGATCAATAACGTTTATATTTTATACGGAATCTTTAAAAAAATCGTCTAATTTCACGTGATTTTACATGACATTATGATCTGCAGAGGTCACACCTTTTTGTAAATCGCTATAATTTCAGTATCGATATTAATGGAATATTGTAAAATGATTATATCGTGTATTTTGTTAAACTTTTTCATACTTTTTAACACGATTCTTTTATATTTAAAGACCAACCAGCTTGAAGCAAAATATGTTCCAAAGTGCATTTACGTCAATCGTTAATACTTTCGCATTATGGTAATTTAGGACAATTTATGAATTTTAGAATATCCAATCTTTTATTTAGGATAATTCGAAAACCAATTTAAATGATAATATTACACGTATTTAGTTTTTTTAATTTCGAAGTAAAATAATCTGCACTGTGAAGAAATCAGATTATTGACTCGAATTACAACAGCTTTATAATCATTAGGATCATAAAGAAATTTTTTTAATATTTTTCTGAGAAATTTCGCATCTGTACGTTATGATCGTTACATTAATCATAGAAAGATTTATATGATTAAAGACATAGTAACAGATGAATTTTTTTATTCTAAATTACGAGATAGGAAATATATAAAAGAGGCCTTGTGATGTGGCACAGTACATCAATCATAGACTTTTTCGAAAAGAAAAATATTGTAAATTTTAAAAGTTCATTTTACGAAAGTGATATTTTATAGAGGTAATTACTGCCATCCGCATTATAGTATTTCCATGAATTTGGAAAAACTCAAAAAGAATGCCTAGTGACAATATCGTTGTAATCTCTGTGCCTATAAAAATTTTTTGATGCATTGTGGTATAACCCATGTCTTGAGTATTAAAATAAATATTGCTATAGGTTTTACTAATATAGACAAAGATAAATCTATTTTTTTATGGGTTTTTCTATATTTCTCTGGCTCCAATATACCTTTTAACATCATCAAAGCGAAGATCACATGTTTTTTGTAAGAATTTAATAAACTTTTTATCGTCGGAAAGTCTTAGCGATCTGCTCGTGAAGAAGTCGGTGATGTGATTTTTTTCTGGGACTTTTATACTTAGTAAGACAACAACTTTTAGCAGTGGGATATATACGGAGTCATAGACTTTTGACATATCTTGCGATAATAGCTATAGTTGTTTGTTGTTGATATGTGCGTCTTCTAGTATGTAGGTGAGGGTATTAATGGGTAAGTATCTTATCTACTGGTTCTTCAATAATCGAAGAATTATTGTTTGATAATATCTATACAGAAAGATAAAAAAAAATTCAACAATTGAATATCAAGAACAGCGAAAGAAAATAGAAGCTTTACCTTGGATCGAATATATTCAAGTCCTCCTCTGACACTATACATATTCTCTGTACACAACTTTGATTGCTTATGCTGCTTAATCTCCCACTGAGCAGCCTCCTGCGTTTTGATCATCTCTAACTTTTCGGCTTCAAATGCTTTCGTTATTTTTTCAATTGTTATTAACTTATTAGTTTCTATTTCAATTAGTGATTGTTTTTCCTTCTCTCCGTTCTTGATTCCAACTTCTTGGCTTCAGATGTTTCATTATTCTTTCGATTGTTATTAACTTATCGGTTTCTTTCATCTCAATTATTGATTGTTTTTCCTTCTCTTCGTTCTTGATTCCAACTTCTTGGCTTCAGATGTTTTCATAATTCTCTCGGACGTTGATATTTTACCAGCATCTTTGAATTCGCGACCTTCATCCATTTTTCAGCCTTCATCTTCTTTACACTATTTCTGACGCATAGATCATCGATTTCAGTTAGGTCAACATAATCAGGTATACTTTCTCCATCAACTATATCATTATTTGGATGATCTTTGTTATTTACATTTACTGATATGATGTTTTCATTTTCGATATAGTTTCTTTTTCTTTATTCCTCCTGGCCCTTCGTTTTCTTTATCTTTCTAAAATGTATAATAGAAATAAATGGTGAATATTCTTAAATAGACATTTTTGTTGAAAATATAGCAAACGTGAGTTCTTTTATAATAAGGAAGTTGCGTAACCGATTTCACTTTCTAACCTTATTTAAGAACTTCATTGGCTTGTGCTCTTCGTGGACCGAATGCCCACAGATTGAACGGAATCACCCTTGAGGTGATCTCACAAAGTAGAAACGAATTTGGGTCAAAATCCCGAAAAACGGATTCCCGAAAGAACATAATACCGACAAAGTTAGCCGGCACTAGCTATAA